CACTCAATAGATAATTCTCGGTCGTTTAGGTTATTGGTCCACCGGTACTTTCTTCGAAAGACATTTCCCGAGGTCTAAGCACGTGTTCCCGCTTGTTGTGTTCTTGGCATATTATCCACTCATGGGAAGACTGATTTTATCGAAGTTATATGTATCATCCCAAAACATAGGCGACAAGACACATTATATAGCACCAACGGATCCAAGGGTTAATGGTGGAGCTAGACAGCCCGAGCAAAGTCGGCAATACTCTCCAACCACCGCAGCCACCCGAGCTAATGTGAGTTTGCTAGGAGCTGGTTCTGATGAAGTAAGAGTTTATTCTCTGAATCCACAGTTGCAGCGCATCTATCAAGGTAGTGGATGCAGTGGTCGAAATATCTGCTAACGTTTATTAACAGTTCTAGAATAGGAACAACGCCATGTTAGCCACCTTATCTATCGCCCCAACAGGCAGCCCGAAGATGTAGGATCTAGTAACGCTTTATGATTTCTGAATGGATTTACGGAAGTTGGATACATCGTAAATCGGAATATATCTCTCGTGATAGTTGTATCCACGGGTCTCATATCGTGATGCCTACATTGAAACATCCTTTGGTGTGTCTAACAGCGCCTTTAGGATGTTCCATAGGCAATTGTGCCTTAATAGCGATACGAGAAAGCAGTTCCATACTTGCCGTGTAACGTAATATATGTTATATCGATGTCGTTATCAAGGTCCCTGTTGAGCCCTATTCAGGGCGATCCTTGCTCGGTCATTGATGTACTGAGCGAAGTCGAACACTTTATCATGTACCAGACCAAGTTCCCCCCCCCAAGACGCGCCGAGCAAGATGTAACGGGCTGTCCTACATAGATGCCTCATACAGCAGCAGGCTCTCCTCCCGCTTACGAAGCTTTCACGTGCCTTCAAACCGTACAGGATTTGCCTGTAGATGTGGTTGTGTCTTTGCTATATAATGATCGAGATCAGAGTTATACTTGAAAGGAGAGCACGAGAGTTGATGATAGCATTTCCTTATCCCAACCATATCCAGGCTATTCCCCACCGAGTACATACACTTCACCGGTTTCTCACGACAGTAGCGGAATGACTAGATCGATCTCTTTTCCATCTACTAATACCCATCTACCCTTTCGGGGACCTTAAGCGAAAAGCTCGATTGTGGGCTGATTTCGCCTCCCCTTGCTGAATTTTCGGCATCCACTTGCGCGTCGTTTGAATCCTCCAAGGGGTACAGTACCATTCATTATGCGTATGTCATTATCTAACACCATACTAGACCAAGGATCTAGTAATCCAGAGCATGGTAAGTTATGGGAGCTAGGAAGGCTATTTATATAAATATTTACATACTTACAGGTTGATATTCAAACAGCAATGCCCACAACCGATGCTATTTGATCTTCCATCGATAAAGGTACAAGTTTCGCATTATCCCAGACCTCCACGTGTCTGTAAAACTGTCTGGCATATACATATATCATCTTCCGTGGTCTTCGCCGCCTTGATTCAATCCCGGGGCAATTTCTTTGAACCCAAGGGAAACAAAGCCTTTCTAAACCAGATGCCTGCACGGCAGACTGTCGTAGACCGCCTGAAGGCGATGCACCCTGCTGTCGCCCATGGGATAGATTCACATCTTGTAGCTTAATTTCATCCTTAATAACGCCTACTCTTATCACTTTAATATGTACAAGACTTATTTGAGGTTTTGACTCTATATTTTGAAATTCACATAAATATTTGACGTTTAGTCCCTAGGGTTGTCATGACTAACATACCCTATAGCCATGAGACCGTGACCTCGCGGAGGACAAATCTACTCTTCCTGCTTCTCTTCTTGATAAATGATAGATGATGCTCTTTATTATATCCTCCGAGTGCTATTACTTTATTATTGCGTATATTGGGCGCGTCTTGGTTTTGACGGAAATATTTTTCGTGATGAGACAGGCTCTTCAGTGTAATTCAACGTCGCCATCTAAATCAGTTGATTTGGCGATTGAGAAAATGGCCCCTAGGCTTTTAGCTTCTTTTTTATGGATGGAAGATGTTCGAGTTTGAGGCCATGATTATGTGTTACGACGTGGAGAATTCCATGAGACTTGTGAGAACAATGTGTGAAGCTTAGGTACGCAGTGGTGAGATCACCCAGGTCGATTGACTTAATGAAGAGGTCATCGGACTGATTGTGGAAAGACTGCTAATATACTGGGCCCTTTCACGAATTAATTTCTCATGGCGATACGGCGAATAGATATTTTCTAACATTCATTTCTATTAAGAGTCTCTTTCATAACGAGACCGCCGCTTCGCTATCACAAACTCCATCATGCCCAACAAACCCGAGGTTGGCGCCAACCTTCTCCCAATGCCACTGGGTTGGCCTTCTCCCAGTGCAACTCATTTTTCTGTCCTGTACAGAACCAGCTGTCCAAGCTATACTGTTACCGCCTCTTGAGGAAACAATGCCTCTGATCAGTATGCTAAGCCCAAAAATATACTCTTTGTCTATCGTATGTGCTTTGCTCTTCATACCCATGCTTCTCCAACCTCATGTCATTTCAATTCTTGGCCAACTTGGGAAACTTGGCGCGGATTTCCTCCTCTGTGAACGGCCTTGTGTTCCTCTTGAGGAGGGCAGCTCGCTCCTCCAGTGTCAGGGAAATATGGTCCCCAAGGGGCACCATACACTTGGCCAAGGTCTCGTAGTCTCGGAGCATGAGCCGCACAGTCATCATGAGATAGTCGATGTTGTGGAAGACGAGGGCGTGCTGAGATGCATACTGCTGCTTTCCTTTGACGAAAGCGACGGGGTGTTGACGCCAATGGCGCAGCGGGTTGAGATGATGTGAGGTGTGATAGCCATCGTTGAAGCAATGGCGGTTACTCTGGAGGGGGTAGGTTAGCAGGCTATATTTCTGAGAGGGACTGAGGTGATGCTCACGGGAACGTCAATGAGGGTGATGCTGGATCTGTAGTCTGAGTCGGGATCGTCCCTGTCCACAAAGGCGTGCTGGCCCCAGTTTCCAACCATGAGGCCAATGCGCAGCAGGAGCAGCGGCAGCAAGAGTGCGAAGAACGTGGCTCTGGGATTGTAGCGGAACAGCAAGTAAATGGCTGTGTAATTGGAGAGCTCCCAGAAGGCGGCTTTGCATGCCAGCATGAACTTTCCATTGCGGATGAAATACGTGGGCAGGTCGAACCAGATGAGGAAGAAGAAGCGACCGACGTAGTGGAGGAAGTGGAAGATGTTGTCTCGCTCATAGCGCAGCGTGGAGGACAGGTCGTTGGGACCGTTGCCCTCGATGTGGTGGTGCTTGACATGGTGGTAGAAGTAGCTGTTCCAGGTGTGGCCCATGAGAGGGTCGAGCACGTAGGGGAAGGCGTGGTCGAGCCAGGCCATGTGCTTGGCCAGGACACCTCGCATGTGGATGTGCTGGTGCATCATGAGGGTGTAGGTGCCGACGTAGCTGAACTGCAGGACCACGTGCAGGACGCCGTGAAGCCATGTGAAGGAGTGGAAGAGGTAGAGGACGCTGGGGATGGAGGTGGTGAAGTAGAGGAAGAGATGGGAGACGACGAGCACGTCCGTCTCTACACGCACGAGGGAGCGTGCGATGCGGATGTAGTACGGGACGATGCAGGTATCGAAGAGCGGGGAAATGGAGATCTTGTCCGTGTCTACGGAGGTGATGACGGTGGGCTCAAAGCGAGCATCCTTGGGGTTGTTGAAGCCATTGAGGGCGTCGATGACGGTCTCATCGTCAACGCTGGGCTCGACTGGACTGAGGTTAGCACGGACGGACTGGAAGCCCACAGCGACCGCTGCTGGGCGCTGCGACAACGGAGATGGAGATGGAGATGGAGATGGCACAAGATGGTGGGTGGCTGACACAGCAGCTCGCCCGTTCGCTGAGCTGAGCTTGTGTGCGTGCGGAGGCTACGTACCAGCTTTCGGAGATGGGCGATTGGAGGAGGGCGAGTCTTGGCTTGCGGCCTTGATGTCGGCAGCGAGGTTCTGCAGAACGAGGCGATCAGCCTTGGTCAAGGCCGGGTCATAGACGATGTGTTCCATCGCGGCGGAATGGTGGATGAGGAGTCTGGCTACTGGCTCATCCGCGTGGTGTCCCTCTCAGCCGGCTGAAGGTGAGAATAAGGCGAGATGGGCAGGTGGGAAGCAGCCGTCAAGGGAGATTGAGAAAGGGAGCAACACAGAATCTTTGGGTGCTGAGTTCAGGGTTCTGGCTCCAGGCACTCGGTAGATTGCGGATCATCCAGCAGGTTCAGCAGGGTCCCAGGAGGGGTCTAGCAGGGCCTTCACTGAGCAAAAATAGGGGTTGTGGGGCGTAGACCGGGGGCAAGCTGATTGACCGCCACTAAGCCGTTCGCGGACAGCCACTGTGACCGCCTGCGAAGCCGTAAGCTACAGCTACAGCGCCCTTAAGGCCTCACTTGAGGTCGCTGGAGGACATCTCCCAGGGATCTCTCGGGGCTCCCCAAGGACCATCTACGGCTGTCGATCACGAGCAATAGCGGCTGCCAATTTCTTCAATATTGAGCTAGAGAGTGCATCATTAATCTGGTCTGGTTTGCCCCCTCCTGCATTGGCCTACATGAATGCATGGAACGGCCGAGGAATGCAAAGGGCACAAATATCGGTGAAAAAAAAAACCATAGAAAATTCAGCAGTGCTCGAGTCCCACCTTGCTTCGTGAACTCGTGAGACTGAATACCCTGAACACCCGGAACGGATCAGCAAGCAAACAATGGGCCGAGCTGCCAAGCAGAGATTTGCTGCTTTACTCGACACCGCTAGTGCCGGCTTATCCGGTCATTTTGTACCTATCAATCATCCACTGCACAAAATGGACAAGTGTTTGATTATGCTTGTGGCGGTAACGCTGACCGTGCACACTGTCGCAAGACGTCGACGATGCTGCTGTGGGCCGAGATGCTGGATATCTGCCCACTCCGTGTTTAACCCCCAGCTTCATAACGCCGTTCCGGTGTCTTCGTTTTCAGCCTCGTCTCCTGATTCGGCCGTTTCGTAAGCGTCGTTATCGTCTTCGTCGCCATCTGTTTGATCGATTTCCTCTTCACTGCTGGCAATGTCGCTTGAGTCGGACAAGCTGGAATCAGAATCTTCCAGCCACGGCGACGAGCCAATTTGTCCACGCAAATCTTCAATATCTTCCTCAAGCGCTGTGATGACTCCCTCGAAATCTCCAGCTTGAATCTGCTGGCTAATGCCTCGATAATAACGAACGCTCTCACCATCCTTCCACTTTTCCCGTTGGACAACTACTGAATTAAGCTGAGATCGTGCTTCGTCCACGCGACTTTGACGCACGTGGGTCAATGCGGATTCCAAAACGTTTGTCTCCCATCGCAGGTTTTCATCTTGGGCAATTTGCAAGAGCTGGGCGAAAGCTGCCTCGCTGGCTTCGTGGGAGAATTCCTCCCTATAATCTATGTTGCCTGGGGACAAAGTGCCCTGGAAATCGTTCAAAGGCGTATCTAACCATTTGTTTAGCTGGTTTGGACTAATGCCCCGAAACAATGTGGGATCAAGGCTCAAAAGATATTGCAGGACGTCCAGATCACTGCTTGCTGCCAAGTGCAATACATTGCAGCCGTCTATATCAAGCAGTTGCATCGAAGCTCCGGCCTCCACAAGACATCGCAAGGGTGCCACTCTGTTACTGATGATAGCCTGCACTAATGGCGACGCACCGGTATCATCAACTGTGTCAATATTTATCTTGCCCGACGCGAGAAACAACCGGAGAGTTTGTTTAAGCCTCTCATGGTTCGTACAGTATTTCCCAAGGTAGTACAGCGGCGACTGGCCATCGTTATCGCCAGCCGAGGGAGAGGCTCCTTCCTCCAACAGCGCTGCAACTACTTCTGGGTCGCAGGCCATTGCAGCGTGAAAAAGAGCTGTACGTCCATAATTGTCTCGCTGGCCGATATTGATGTCGCTGTGCCGAAGCAGCAGTCGCACGCAATCGATATGCTCGTAGAACGATGCAAGCATCAGTGCTGTGAGTCCCGCGAAGTCTTTCATGTTCACACTGGCATTCGCCTGGATCAAATCTTCCATCGCGTTTTTGTTTCCAAATCTGCTGGCCACGTGAAGGGGAGATTCTCCATTGCAATCGAGCTCGTTCAACGCCCACGGTTCCTTGTTAAGCGCCTCGTTGATGCCGTGCCCTTTCCTGGCCGCCGCATGGACTAATGTCGAGTCCCCCCAAACGGGTGCATCCTCAACGAAAGAGAGCACCCGGCTCAAGACCTCCGCATCTTGTTCCTCGAGTTGCCCGTAGGCCAATTCTTTGTGCACCATGAATGCTACCTCTCTGCTTGTCGTTAGCGCTCGGATTTACTCTACTGCTAGAAAGAAGACCCAATCTTACCGTCGAAATTTTCGATGCTGCAAAATATTTTGCCACTTCACAAGCAAAGACTCAACAACAGAGAATTGGCCATTCGAAATGGCAAGCTACATGGTCAACATGGTGATATTCCCGGCTTCATGCCTCATTGCATTATAGTACTTACTTCCATTAACCCTCGCCCACTTGCTACATGATCCTCAGGGAAGTATATCCAATCGCGGACCCTCCAAATAGATTCCGATCTTGCTCCCACGACCGCCCAGTTATAGACCACCTCACCGAAGCCGATGACTCTTGCGGGCCGTAAGGCTAAGGCCAACCCCGAGTTATTAAAAACCACTTTGAGTAACAACGTTCGGGCCTGTATCCAGGCTGGGAGAAGACCCTCGACGTTCAAGCAAGGGGACTGGGTAGAATGACAGCTACAATTCGAAGACCGAGGCCTTGTTGAATCCTGTCCCGGGCTATGGTGCACAACCCAGTTCCCAAGTATCGGCCAGAGCCAGACCGGTGCTTGGTAGCGGTTCCAGTGCCGTCTGGTTCGACAGTGACAAGGTTGACTTTCCATTGGCCTAAATCTAGAGGATCTCTGGACATCGAATTGAGAAACTGAACTTCGTGTACGAACTGTGACTGATGTTTCAGCTTGGCAAATGGGATACGACTGTTCAGCGCCTATTACATCCAAACCGCGGATGCTTGGAGTTGCGAAATCGGAGTGCTGTGTAATTTCTCCGCCTGAATCTTCATCCTCATCCTCGTCCTCCTCGTCCTCCTCGTCATCACCTTCTTCTTTGTCTTCCACTGGCGGCTCTTCTACCCCTCCTTGTTCGTCTGAATGAGCGAGATGTTGCATCGACCGAAGCTCTTGGAACAAAGCCTTTAACTCGAGATGTGCTCTATTGACCATTGTCAGTCTGACATACCACACTCCCAGAAGATGACGATGCAAGTTTATGAACCAACCTGTGTTCTCTTACGACACGAAATGCGTCTAAAGTCCTCAACTGAAAATTTATTCCAGTTTGGAAGTTCGACCGTGCATCGCGGGCCCTCTCGAGCAGCTTCGGGATCCGGTTTCTTTTCAAAATCCACTTCCGCTTCTTCGCGTTCGAAACGCCGTCGCTGCCTGAGTTCCGTGCGCAATACGTTCTAATTTCGTCCATCTCGGCCTTCAGATGCTCCAACTGGGATACTGCCCGGGCGATCACTGTTGGCTCGGCGACCTGGGGGAGGCCTGAGCCTCGGGCGAATAGGCTCGGTATGGAATGGAAGTCTTGGAGGATGGAGTCGATGTCGGCCACCTGAGTACACTGTTAGTGCTGACTATCGCAAATGGAGATGCAGTGAGATCAATGGCGGGCATCATACCACTTCTTGTAGGCAGCGGAAATCGTCCTGGATCGTGGCCATTTCCTGGAAAAAGCCGACCGTTTTGAGGGACACCTCCAACAGCGTAACGCTGCTTGCAATCAACCCGACGACCTCCATCACGGGCAGCGAACAGGACGACGATACCAAGAGGAAATTCGATGGTGATGGGAAGAAGTGATGGGAAGAAACACCGTCTGATGGTCAGTCAAGACGCGAAGTTGAACGTGTCTCGCATCAACCAGGTGCGGGGAATGATTCTGGTCGGGCAGAGCCTTGTGAATCGCCATGCACTTTTCATCCTGCATGCTGACTCCCCAAGAGCCAATCGCAAGACCAGCTTCAATGCTACATGTCACAATCTGTTTATTATCGGTGCATTTCAGCCCACCAAATACTTGTGGTTGCATACTGGCGCAGTGGCTGTCACAGCACTGCCATCACTGCGACCCAACACCGCCTCAACGCTTCACCGACGATGGACTTCAACTGGTGTACACGAACAATATTACATTCATATCCTAGATGCCAAATATCCCAAGCCACTAACTCTACAACGCAGCCAACACAAAAGCAACACCAACCGCCCACGCCACACCCTCCCACCCAACCACCCCCCGTCCAGCCGCCGCACTATCTTCATCACCCGTCTGGCTCGCATTGAAGTCCTGCGCGACAATGAACGCCGGCTCGTACTCCCCCCGTATCGCCGTGTTGTTCTCCTTCCCGTCCCAGCAATACTTGTCAAAGCAGGCCTGGCACGCCGACGGCGCCGCCTCGCCCGCCTTCCACCAGCTCCGGCTGAGGATGGCGCACCCCACGCACCGCGACCAGTCCTTGTCTACGGTGGCGTTGCCCTGCGTGGCGGCGTTGAGGCCGTTGCGGATGATGGCGTCGCGCTCGGGGATGGTGTACTGCGGGTCAAAGGTGGACACGTTGCTGAGGGTCGAGTAGGGCGCGTTGGGGATGTAGAAGACGAGGGGCGGGACGGCCTGGCCGGGAGAGAGGGTGAAGTTGGCGGGGTCGCAGCCGAAGAGGGTCGGGCGGCGGTTGAGGCCGTTATTAATAAACGTCTCGGCGGGGGGGATGGCGGGGAAGAGGGTGCCGTTGGAGATGGAGGTGGAGGAGCGGTCGTAGGTGGCGCGGAGGGCGGTGCCGTTGGGCCACGAGTAGGTGGTGTCGGCGGAGGAGTCGACGGCGAAGATGATGTCGACGGCGCGGTTGGGCTGGATGAGCGGGTGGAGGGGGATGTTCTGGAGGTCCTCTCCGCCGTCGACGAGGTTGAGGTCGTTGTCGAGGGCGGTGGGGTTGCCCGAGGTCGGGTTCCAGCCCAGGAAGGGGTTGGGGTTGTACTGGGCGATGTCGTCCTCGCCCGAGCTGAGGTTCTGGAGGATCTTCTCGATGACGGTGATGAGCGTCGAGGAGAGCCCGAAGGACTCGCCCTTGGCGGTGATGTTCTGCAGGAGGAACTGGTTGAAGAGGGAGGACGAGGTTCCCATGACGAACCCGAACTGGTCGTAGCCGCGGACGCATTTGCTCTGGTTGCCGATTATCCCGTTGGTGAAGTTGGAGGCGATCCACTCCAGGGGGGCGAACCCGAACGTCGTGGGGTCCCAGGATCCGAGCTCGTAGGGGTTGAACTCGTAGACCGTAGCGTTGAGAGACACGACCGTCTCCCCGGGCGCCCTGCCGTCTGCCACGAGGACGGGGAACGGCGTCTGCGCATCCTTGAAGTCCTGCGTGTCGGCGATGGAGGAGAACGTATACGCCGGCCCGCCGTCCGGAGCCCCAATGAGCTGGTAGGATAGAGCACGACCCCAGTAGTCGGTGATGGACGTGGGCCAACCCTCCTTCTTCTTCTGCACCTGGTCCACGATGTCGCCCCAGTAGTCGACCGTGTTCAGCGCCCCGCGCCCGCTCTTGTCCGGCCCGAGGAAGATGTTGCGGTCGAACCGCCACAGCGCGTTGTCCTTGTTGCCCTGCTGCAGGGCCGGGACGGTGGAGAAGTTGTTGGCGAAGATGGACCCGACGAGCCAGCCGCCGCCGGACAGCCCGGCCAGGTAGGTGGCGGACTGGAGCAGGCCGCTGATGGCGCCGTCCTGGCTATTACGGTTGTCGGCGGCGGAGAGGAAGCCAGCGCCGTTCATGAGGGCGCGGTACCCGCCCCCGGACACGGCGATGCCAATGTTGGGGAGGGCGGTCGCGTTGCCGCGGGCGGCGTCGATGAAGGAGCTCGCGTTGAAGTCGGGGATGTTGGCGTGCTCGAGGAGGGCGCGGAGCGGGTCGACGGTGTTGTTGCGGCGGAGGCTGATCCACGACTTCTCCTGGTCGGAGAGCTCGCCGGCCAGGCGGACGGACGGCTTCGTGCTGGGGCAGTCGACTACCTTGGGGGTGTAGTTGCCGCTGGGGGAGTCGGGCAGGGCGCGGAGGGAGAGGATGGCCTCATACTGCTGGATGGCGGCGGCTTCGTCGGGATGGACAGCAGCAGAGGGGGAGATCAAGGGGAGAGCGAGAAGCAGGATCTGCTGGAGGTGCACCATCTTGGCAGCTGTTGTTCGGAGGCAACGGCTTCTGGCAACGGATACCTGGACGTTTCAACGACCACAGGCTGGGGAGCGGACGACATTGTGGCGGCAAGGCAATACCTAAATATGTCTAGATGAGACGTGCCACACGCCCAAACACGACAATGGTCGGCGATATTACGTACCGGACCACGTCGGGGGTGTCAACCAAGATCAGCATGGCCGAAAGTCAAACCGTGCCCAGTGAAACCTTGGCGAATCACAGGGAGCGACAGACAACACAGCAACGAGTGGTCGACGGGACGTCGGGAGCATACCAACCCAACCAGGGCGAGCGTGTGGCTGGGACAGATCATCCATCTCGCTCATGCAATCTCCCTGCCGTTAGCCGGTACACAAGAAAGGCTGCTTCTCGTCACAAAAATTCCACCCGATGGGGAAATGACGGACGCGCGTGCGACAGGTTGGCTCGGCAGTGTCGGCGTATGGCAGTCACTCGCGTCATGGTGGTTCAAAATGGGCTTGTCCATTGCTTTGATTGAACTGACTGTCTTACATACACGGTGGGGAAGACCGCAAACAGGTACGCAGACACTAGCTGTCTGTCTCAAGAAGAAGGGGGTAAAAAAGAAGGGGAACGAAGAAAACCAGAGTCCTGCTCGCTCATCATGTCATTTGGTGTAACCCGCTCATGGATACCCAATCGAATCATCAGCTTTTCCCAAGTACAATTGCATTCGTGACCATCATAACCAACAATAACAGTTATCCGACAAAGATGAAAAATTAAGAAAACAAATTGATATCCCGTTTCCTTCCCTATGCGCCATCGCATCGTAGCCTAAAAAAAAAAAAAAAAAAGAGAGAGACATTTTGTTTGTTCTGTAATAGGTTGTATGCTGTCGGGTCCGTCCACATCCAGAAGACGGACCGCAGCATTGACTTTTTGTTGGATGGGGTTGGATTAGAAGATTGACGCCAAGATGTCAAGCGCCACCCGACGCCTTGGGGTCGTCCCTTCGTCCTTATTGAGTTCGGGGGAACCGGACTTGGGGCCATTGGCCTTGGCCGTCTCCTCAACGTTGCCGTCCTCGACATGGGCTACTTCGTGCGTGTCAACGTTGTCGAGGACGACATGGGCTGCTTCGTGCGTCTCAACGTTGCCGTCCTCGACATGGGCTGCTTCGTGCGTCTCAACGATGTCGTCCTCGACATGGGCTGCTTCGTGCGTGGACAGAAGTTCATGGGCAGACTCATATTCAGACCCTTGCTTCTTCGAGGTGGACTTCGACGCAGACACATGTGAATGGACGCTGTGGTGCTCCGACATGACTTCAGATGGTGGTTCAGATGACGAATCAGAGCTGATCGAAACCACTTCTACCTTCTTGGGTCTCTCGGCAGGGACTCTACAGGTAGGTGATGGCTGAATAGTCGGCTGGGCGGGAGTAGCACGGTCAAGGCTGCAAGATGATACACTAGTTGGAGGTGTCAATTGAGTGTTCGCCCTCTTCACTCTCTTCACCGTCTTCACCCTCTTCAGCCATTCCTGGATTTGCGAGTCCTTCCTGCCCCGATTGACCTCTCCTTTCTCTTCCGGAAGCTGAAATGGGTTGGGAGAAGCAGGGCTCTGCTCCTCTGGCACTGGTGCTGGTGCTGGTGGTGGGGGGCGGGTATCGATCGGTCGCCTTGATTGCGCGGGAGCCTCAGGTTCAGGCGGCGCTGGGTTACCCCGTCGAGCGCCAAAGGATGTTGGCATTCGCGACCGTTTCCTTGCGGTGATTGGGGACAAGATTACCTCTCCGTCGGGCGACACGACGGTCTGGTTCTGCAAAGCCAATGGGGTTGGTGTTGGTACCTGCAGGTCAGGCCGAGCCCTTTTGGCATTGGGCATTTCTGCATCGTCGCCCATCGCTCTCTTGGCCCGAGGTCGGTAGAGGCTGCTGGGTCCCAAGAACCTGGCCGCGCGACCTTTCTGCTGGGTAGACGCTGGTGTAGAAAGTTCCTCCGGGACTACGGGCTGTGGTGTTGAGCTCATGGCTGATGAGGGGCTCAGAGTGATGCAGTCCCCATATCGGGGTGCGGGAGCCGCCACATCAGGCCTCTGGACGGTAGGCCGCTTGGGGGCCTTTTGACGCCGTCGTGGTGGTCGCTGTGGTCGCGGTGGTGATGACGATACTGTTATTAGGGACATTGCTGGCGATGGGGCTCTTGGCTTTGGACCCCGGTTCGCAACCCTCTCGCTCCGCCGCGTGGGTTGTGGTGATTCATCCATGCCTGGTTGACCAGGGCGATGAAGCGAGGGCAGAAGAGGAGAGGAAGGAGAAGTGCGGGGCTTCGGCACTGCCTCTCTCAGTCTGGCAGCTCCAGAACGCACAATTCTGTGTTGACTGGGACAGCGAACTGGGCTCTGCCCGAGGAGGCTCAAGACGAAAAGACAGAAGGAAGGCAAGGACCAAGCAACGAGGGACGACGCCAGGTGCTTGCGGGTGATGTGCCCTGAGGTCTCTAGGACCGGAGATGAAAGGTCGAGTTTGACATCCGGAGAGAAAGCTGCTCTGATCTGGGGGTGCTGGAGAGGTGGTGGCACATAAGGTGGTACAGCTGCAACCTCTGCAGCGGGACAAGAGAGAAGAGGGCGGTATGTACCTGTACCCCACGGCACCTGGCCGTCCTGCACGGCACGGCACTTGACTACTGCACTGGGCCGACACTGGGCCAGAGCACGGCTGGCGAGTAGTGTGTCTGGACTGGGCTGGGCTGGCTTCGAGTGGCCAAACGGTCGAGGCGGCCCGCGCGGAGTTTTGACCTGATTTTGCGGGGAGATTGAGGTTTTGCTGTGACTGGCCCAGTGAAGGCGTTGCGTTATCGTGATTCCGCTGAGTCAGCCGATTGCCGAGCGCGATTCGCCCGTGTCGCTCCTGCACTTTTGTTCTGGGCTGCACCTTCCTCTCACCGGTCCCCGTTGTGGCTGGCGGAAAAAGCAAAATGCACAAGCAAAGCAAAAGCAATGAAACACCACGGTGATTGCCACTGCGCCTGCGATTGGCTGTGTGTCGAGTCAATTGATCCGGATGCGTCTCGAGCGGCAGAGTGGCTGGCTCTCTCTCTGCTCATAGGCCGAGCGGCAGAGCAAGTGCAGCTCTTAGCTTCCAGCTCCCAACGCCCGCCCGCACCTTTCGCAGCTCTCGCAGCTACCATAGCACCAGCCCCCCGCCGCTCGTCGCCTCTCGCCGCCGCCTCTCGCCATATCACAGGCTCGACGTTGCAGTACATGATGCATACCACGCCCATAGCCCTCCTCTGGTCTGGCCAGCCCATCATGCGTGCGCCCGTGCTGCCCATCTTGGGTCGGGCTGGCCCGTCAGTCCACTACCGACCGACCGACCAGGGCAAGCCGAAGACACAGCCAAGACCTGGCGTCCAACCACCATGAGCATCAAGTGAGACATCCCACTTCAGCTGCACCAGCTCGTCGAATCAGTGCTCCCAATCTCCACAGAAATCAATACGAGCGCAAGAGGGGTTATCGTCACATCCGTCTGCCTGATTGCGTATCCTCACATTGTCCCTATACATGGCGGTACGGTACACACTTTTCTCCCCAGCTGGTGAGACATATCATTTGTGATAGCTCCTTGCATCAATCGTCCCCTTCCTGGCCAACGAGAGCTACAGGTGTGACTGGCGGTCAAGGAAACTCTCTCGTCATTTCAAACCGGTGCTGTTTCACGGGAAGATTAGTCCTTCGATTCATTGCAGGACGACGCATCATCTATTCTCCGTCACGTCGCCTCCAGCCGAAGCCGACATTGACAAGCACAGGGCCATCGGATGCTTACCTGCATGCCCCAGCGAACAATTTCCGACGCTGCAGGTCGAGGCGGGGAGTGCACCAAATCATACAAACAGCCGAGCCCAACGTCGAGCCGTAGCACTTGTCCCCCTGGCTTACCAATTTGCTCTTGGCCAGCACAACATGAATCGCGTTGGTCAACAAAGAAGCCGGGAGCTTATGAACAGGTTCGCCCTATCAACACGGGGAGGGAGGGTATTTACCCCATTGTCCATCAGTGGGTACAACATCGGGGAAAATTCTCGCGGAACAGTGCCGCCTTCCTTCGAGATGCACATTCGCTGAAAGGCTGGTGGATCGGGCCGGGTGAAGGTTAGGTAGAGCCCGGATCCGGCGTTGTCTCCTCCGTAGACATCGAGCCATGCACGTGCCCAGTCAGTTGTCTCACGACACTCATCCGTTTCATCTGTTTGGTGGTCCAAAGCAACAAATATACCGTGACACGAGCATCACCATTCCGCACGCCTAGGCTAGTCCATCTTAGTCATGGCATTGGCATGTGCTCATCAACACCAAGCAACTGGACCACGATAGCTAAACTCACTATGGTGGATCATCCCTCCTCCGACTCTGCCGCTGCATGGGGATTCTACGGGTCGTCCGAACACTTTCGGATAATGATTCGCCTTAAGCTTTCCAACAAGCTAGCAATAGCCATGGATTGAGTTTTCATTCACAGCCGGCAAATCCGTCATCGGTTTCCACACCTTACCAGCTGAGCCAGAAGCTTAAACTTTGTTCTGGTCCAATCATGTGCCAGGCATCGCATCCGGAGACCTCGCTTTCAGCGTAGCCTCCATCTAGCGGAAGCTGGACGCCGCAATTCACACAATTAGCTTCGTTTATGTGGATATTCAAGCTTCGAGCTTATGTCTTTGGTTCAATGGGAGGGCGGGCGGGCATCTCGGGCCTTCTGAACTGCTTTCGCCAAGCGCCCGTTCGTTGAAGAGCTACCTACCGAGTCTACTTATTTCCTTCGCCTTCCTCTCGACCACTCCATCGGGACCGCAAACCTAGGCAGGAACGCTCGGCTCCCTCCATCAGAGCTTCGATCATGGAGCGGCTTTCTTCCCAGGAGATCTTACGCCACAGTGGTGATTTCTGCGCGTTGTGTGATTCCAACGCAGGTGCGCACACGCACGGCGAAAACAACGAGATCGTATACCTGCACGAGTTTTCCCAGCAAGCCACGAGCTCGACAGCTCAGCAAGAGTCCCAGCAGCAAGAGGCCCGCGACACCGTTTCCAACCTCGGCTCTGATTTGAGGCAGGGAACTCAAGCTTCTTCCAGCGGCCTGGGATCAACTTCGACGAGCGGGAATACGCACTCGGAGACCACGGGATGGGCAGGGAGGACAACTGACCATGGGGCGAACCAACATGAGGCTGCAGTGGTGCATGCACCGGCACTTGCTTCCCAGTCAGTGACTACCGAAGCACGCGCAGATCCTTCTCTACACCAAGGATCCAGCAATCTAGCTCGGGGTGCGGTTTTCGACGCCAATCAATCACAGCATGCGCAACATGATTCGCATATAGCTCACCAGCAAGGCCATGCGAATGCATCTGACCAGCAAGGCCAAGGAATATCTACCCATGCAGCTTCCAATGCACAGGCAGCGAGGTATATCCAGGATCCTATAGATAATGAACCTCTGCCGCTACCTGGACATCACTTTGGTGGATCGTCCCATCACCGGAAGACCAGCTCCGTGTATTCCGATCAAGCACTCCATCAATCGACGAGCAGGGCGACTCATCACGATGGATCGTTGCAGGAGGCTGCCCCAAGTGCTGCGGGAGGAAATGCAAAAACGGCAACACAAAACGGATCTTCAAGAAAACCGTTTGGTGACTTCTCGGATTTCCAGCCTGGGCAAGAACATAACACAGGTCATCCTGCTCTCAGAGATGAGGGCATCCAAGGGCAGTCGGCCCGCTTGCATTCAGCCCGTCTGGATTCCGACACCTTAGCCGATACGGCGATTGCCCCTCAACCCGCGCCGTATCCGCGCCTACAGCGCCAGGATTCACTCGTGATGATTGACGAGTCTGATCGCCGAGAGCTCCACCGACTTGCCACCGCTCGCTCCCACGCCCGAAGAGCTAGCATTGCAAGCATACCTGAAAGTGAAACGGCGCTGCCGCCAGAGGTGACTGACCCAGCTTTGGATCCCTCCAGCGGGAAATTTGATCTCTCGAAATGGCTGAAAAACATGGTCGGGGAGTTTCGAAAGGAGGGCCTGACAGTAACGAATACTGGCGTCTCCTTCCGGAAGCTTCAGGTGTCTGGTACTGGAGATGCGATACAGTATCAGCAGACTCTGGGATCGCTGCTGAAGGCGCCGTTTAGGCTTGGGGAGTTTTTTTCATTTGGTAAAAAGAAACCCAAGACGATACTGCACAGATTTGACGGCCTATTGAAGAGCGGTGAGCTTCTCGTTGTTCTCGGTCGCCCTGGCTCGGGATGCAGCACACTTCTGAAAACAATGACTGGCCAGCTTCATGGCCTGACTCTCAGTCAAGATTCATTAGTTCATTACAGCGGGATGCCACAAGCCAATATGATGAAGGAGTTCAAGGGCGAAACAGTCTACAATCAAGAGGCAAGGCGTCAAAGCCCCCCCCGTCCATCATTAACAATCACACTAACTGGGCTCAGATCGATAAACACTTCCCCCATCTCACCGTCGGCCAGACTCTTGAGTTCGCCGCCGCCTGTCGCACACCCTCGCACCGTCTCTATGGGTTATCTCGCAAAGAATTCGCCAAGCAAATGACCCTCATCGTGATGGCCATTTGCGGCCTCAGCCATACTTACAACACCAAGGTCGGCGACGACTATGTCCGTGGCGTCTCCGGAGGCGAAAGAAAACGTGTCAGCCTCTCGGAGATGATGTTGGCTGGTGCCCCCATCGGAGCATGGGATAACAGCACCCGTGGCCTCGACTCGGCCACGGCGCTCAAGTTTGTTCAGGCTCTTCGTGTCGCCGCCGACTATGGTATGAGCGCTCATGCCGTGGCCATTTACCAAGCGAGCCAAGCCATCTATGATTTATTTGACAAGACTGTCGTCCTTTATGAGGGACGCCAGATCTACTTTGGCCCCGCAAATGCGGCCAAAGCCTACTTTCAGCGCATGGGCTGGGAATGTCCCCAACGACAGACGACGGGCGACTTCCTGACCTCGGTAACAAATCCGGTGGAAAGAAAGCCTCGCCCAGGCATGACGAACACGGTTCCCCGGACTCCCGAGGAGTTTGAACGATATTGGCACAACTCTCCCGAATACCGCGCCTTGGACGACGACATTGAAAAGGATCTGCAGGAGTTCCCTGT